CTCCCACTGACTGCTGACACATTGTTTAGTAATGTCTTACTGTCAGACTGACTGCTGACACATTGTTTAGTAATGTCTTACTGTCAGACTGACTGCTGACACATTGTTTAGTAATGTCTTACTGTCAGACTGACTGCTGACTCATTGTTTAGTAATGTCTTACAGTCCCACTGACTGCTGACACATTGTTTAGTACTGTCTTACTGTCAGACTGACTGCTGACACATTGTTTAGTAATGTCTTACTGTCAGACTGACTGCTGACACATTGTTTAGTAATGTCTTACTGTCCCACTGACTGCTGACACATTGTTTAGTACTGTCTTACTGTCCCACTGACTGCTGACACATTGTTTAGTACTGTCTTACTGTCAGACTGAATGCTGACACATTGTTTAGTACTGTCTTACTGTCCCACTGACTGCTGACACATTGTTTAGTACTGTCTTACTGTCCCACTGACTGCTGACACATTGTTTAGTAATGTCTTACTGTCCCACTGACTGCTGACACATTGTTTAGTACTGTCTTACTGTCCCACTGACTGCTGACACATTGTTTAGTACTGTCTTACTGTCCCACTGACTGCTGACACATTGTTTAGTAATGTCTTACTGTCCCACTGACTGCTGACACATTGTTTAGTACTGTCTTACAGTCAGACTGACTGCTGACACATTGTTTAGTACTGTCTTACTGTCAGACTGACTGCTGACACATTGTTTAGTACTGTCTTACTGTCAGACTGACTGCTGACACATTGTTTAGTACTGTCTTACTGTCAGACTGACTGCTGACACATTGTTTAGTACTGTCTTACTGTCCCACTGACTGCTGACACATTGTTTAGTACTGTCTTACTGTCAGACTGACTGCTGACACATTGTTTAGTACTGTCTTACTGTCCCACTGACTGCTGACACATTGTTAGTACTGTCTTACTGTCCCACTGACTGCTGACACATTGTTTAGTAATGTCTTACTGTCCCACTGACTGCTGACACATTGTTTAGTACTGTCTTACTGTCAGACTGACTGCTGACACATTGTTTAGTACTGTCTTACTGTCCCACTGACTGCTGACACATTGTTTAGTAATGTCTTACTGTCCCACTGACTGCTGACACATTGTTTAGTACTGTCTTACTGTCAGACTGACTGCTGACACATTGTTTAGTACTGTCTTACTGTCCCACTGACTGCTGACACATTGTTTAGTAATGTCTTACTGTCCCACTGACTGCTGACACATTGTTTAGTACTGTCTTACTGTCTCACTGACTGCTGACACATTGTTTAGTAATGTCTTACTGTCAGACTGACTGCTGACACATTGTTTAATAATGTCTTACTGTCCCACTGACTGCTGACACATTGTTTAGTAATGTCTTACTGTCCCACTGACTGCTGACACATTGTTTAGTAATGTCTTACTGTCCCACTGACTGCTGACACATTGTTTAGTACTGTCTTACTGTCCCACTGACTGCTGACACATTGTTTAGTACTGTCTTACTGTCCCACTGACTGCTGACACATTGTTTAGCACTGTCTTACTGTCAGACTGACTGCTAACACATTGTTTAGTACTGTCTTACTGTCCCACTGACTGCTGACACATTGTTTAGTAATGTCTTACTGTCAGACTGACTGCTGACACATTGTTTAATAATGTCTTACTGTCCCACTGACTGCTGACACATTGTTTAGTAATGTCTTACTGTCCCACTGACTGCTGACACATTGTTTAGTAATGTCTTACTGTCAGACTGACTTGCTGACACATTGTTTAGTACGGTCTTACTGTCCCACTGACTGCTGACACATTGTTTAGTACTGTCTTACTGTCAGACTGACTGCTGACACATTGTTTAGTACTGTCTTACTGTCCCACTGACTGCTGACACATTGTTTAGTACTGTCTTACTGTCAGACTGACTGCTGACACATTGTTTAGTACTGTCTTACTGTCCCACTGACTGCTGACACATTGTTTAGTTAATGTCTTTACTGTCACACGGGCCTGCTGACACTTGTTAGTAATTGTCTTACTGTCCCACTGATCTGACACATTGTTTTAGTACTGTCTTACTGTCCCACTGAATGCTTGACACATTGGTTTAGTTAATGTCTTACTGTCAGACTGATGCTTTATTTTTTTTTTCTTTCTTTTCTTTTCTGACACATTGTTTTCGTACTGTCTTTACTGTCCCACTGCTGCATGAACAATTGTTTAGTAATGTCTTACTGTCCCTGTTCTTCCTCAAGGAGCATTTCTGTTGGATTTCCTTTTCATTACACATTGCTTCGTACTGTCTCTCTTCTTCTTAACGTTGCAATCAGTCCGTAGATGTTCTTTTTCCTGTGATAACAGGATGGATTTCCTGTTCATGCAGCTGAAACGAAACAAATACACACACATACAATTGTGTGTATGCTTTCAGCTCTTTGTTCTTTGATTTTACACCAGCTGAGTCAAGTACACATCCAATGAAAGGTTTACTTTAGGCCACACAGAGAACATCTTACAGAATCCCTTTGGTTAAATAAAATGAATGAATTCCTCTGGTGTCTATTCTCACTGGTGCTGGAGTTGTTACTGCCTCTGTGCCGTCTAGTTCTATAAAGAAAGTTGACCTATCAGTATAAAGGGAAATCACATGTAAAGGCCATTCTTTGTCCTCAGTGTCTCGGAGCTCCCGAGATGGAATAAAATATCTGTTTCTCTGATCCTATCAGTTATTTAACACTAAAAAACAATTATTCTCTCCGTGCTTCCATTCAGTCATCAGACACCATGAAGTGACGTGACACTGTAAAAAGACTCGCTGTTACTGTGCTCTAGCTTGTCCTACCTATTGGTAGACATGTTTGCTTGCTCTTTGGGTTCTAGGACGAGTTACTGCAAAAGCACTTTGTGACAACTGCTGATGTAAAAAGGGCTTTATAAATCAATGTGATAGATTGATTGACATGTTTCTGATTGCTTCCTTCTCTTGTCTCCATGCAGACGCCTCTACCAGAGTCTCAAGGCCCTGAGTCTATAGAACCTAAAGCATCTCTACCAGATGACAGTATGGAGACCATCAACAAGACACCACTACAAGGTACCAGCTAGCTCTACATCTTTATTCCACATACACCTGACAGTATACAATACGTTGACCATGTGTCTGTATGTGTGTGCATCCTCTCTTCTAATTGGTTCAGATGAATCCTGAACTCTCACTCCCCAGACCAGCTGGTCTAAGGTGAACTAAACTTAATGAGCGAACATTTACTTGTGTTTTACTACCTCAGATAGCTCCATTATGCTACCCATTATGACTGCTATGAGGGACACTATCATTAACACATCAACCTGTTTTTGTTTGTCAGAGGTCAGCTTGGACCTGCAGAAGCAGCATGGAGGAGCCCCTAAAGAGGAGATTTTCATCACAGACGTGGCCTACTGCGAACAGGCGGCCATCTTGTTGAAACAGGCTAAGCTGCCTCAGATAAAGAACAACAGCTGCAAGAAGAAGGAGGACGGCACACTGCCTGTAAGAGTCTCTCTCTCTCTCACTTGGTACATATGCTATGCATGGAACAAATCATCTCAGGCACTGTAAACTCAAAACAGAAAAACTCTCCTCCACGCCAACTCAGACTGGGGCCCTGTACAGTAGGTTAGATAACAGTGTTAGGAACTCAGACTGGGGCCCTGTACAGTAGGTTAGATAACAGTGTTAGGAACTCAGACTGGGGCCCTGTACAGTAGGTTAGATAACAGTGTTAGGAACTCAGACTGGGGCCCTGTACAGTAGGTTAGATAACAGTGTTAGGAACTCAGACAGTGGGGCCCTGTACAGTAGGTTAGATAACAGTGTTAGGAACTCAGACTGGGGACCCTGTACAGTAGGTTAGATAACAGTGTTAGGAACTCAGACTGGGGCCCTGTACAGTAGGTTAGATAACAGTGTTAGGAACTCAGACTGGGGCCCTGTACAGTAGGTTAGATAACAGTGTTAGGAACTCAGACTGGGGCCCTGTACAGTGGTTAGATAACAGTGGTTAGGAACTCAGACTGGGGCCCCTGTACAGTAGGTTAGATAACAGTGTTAGGAACTCAGACTGGGGCCCTGTACAGTAGGTTAGATAACAGTGTTAGGAACTCAGACTGGGGCCCTGTACAGTAGGTTAGATAACAGTGTTAGGAACTCAGACTGGGGCCCTGTACAGTAGGTTAGATAACAGTGTTAGGAACTCAGACTGGGGCCCTGTACAGTAGGTTAGATAACAGTGTTAGGAACTCAGACTGGGGCCCTGTACAGTAGGTTAGATAAACAGTGTTAGGAACTCAGACAGGGGCCCTGTACAGTAGGTTAGATAACAGTGTTAGGAACTCAGACAGGGGCCCTGTACAGTAGGTTAGATAACAGTGTTAGGAACTCAGACTGGGGCCCTGTACAGTAGGTTAGATAACAGTGTTAGGAACTCAGACTGGGGCCCTGTACAGTAGGTTAGATAACAGTGTTAGGAACTCAGACTGGGGCCCTGTACAGTAGGTTAGATAACAGTGTTAGGAACTCAGACTGGGACCCTGTACAGTAGGTTAGATAACAGTGTTAGGAACTCAGACTGGGACCCTGTACAGTAGGTTAGATAACAGTGTTAGGAACTCAGACTGGGGACCCTGTACAGTAGGTTAGATAACAGTGTTAGGAACTCAGACTGGGAACCCTGTACAGTAGATAAACAGTGTTCGGAGGACCGTACAGTATGGGACTACAGTAGGTTAGAAACAGTGTAGAACTCGCGGGGCCCAGTAGAAAAGAGAACCAGGGAAGGAGGATAGTGTATAAAAATGTGTCCCACACTTGCACTTTGTATCCATTGCTATTGCTAATCCTCTCTCTCTCTCTCTTTCTCTCTGTCTCCATCCCCCCTCCCCTACAGAGGGTGATCTGCCCCCAGTGTCGTCTGGGTGTAACTCGTATCCAGGACCTGTCCAACCAGGACATGAAAAAGGTACGTCAGCTGGCCCTGATCGACATGACAGCGCTCTGTGACCTGCTGGAGCTCGACGTCAAACGACACAAGACCTGCAAGAGGAAGATCCCAGGTATGTGAACTCTCTAACACAACTCACACACACACAAACTGCGCGCCCAGTGTGTGTGTGTGTGGCCTTGCATGCTCCCCCTGCCTCTGCAGCCAAACGCATGAGTCAAGCCCTGGGAGATGTGAAAAGTGTACAGGAGTTGACAGCTATACTAACCTTTCAGCCAGGGAGGAAGCGGGTTTTTTACATTGCAACACCCACAATCTCTCTCTCTCTCGCGAGATCTCGTCTCTCTCGAGATCTATCTATCTATCTCTCTATAGTATATAGATATCTATCTCTCGCTATCTTCTCTATCTCTCTCTCTAGCTCGCTCGAGATCTCTCGCTATCTAGCTCTCTCGCTGATCTCTCTAGTCTACGCTCTCTCTCTATCTCTCTCTCTATCTCCCCCTCTCTCTCTCTCTCTCCTCTCTCTCTCTCTCTCTTCTTCTCTATTTTGATCACAGAGAGTGCCCTGTTTGGGGTTCCCCTGGCCACCCTGTTGGAGAATGATCAGAAAGTCAAGCCCACTGCTACCACTCCTCTCATCCTGCAGGCGGTAAGCTAAACAGTTAACATACTTCTAGTGTCTATCTTGAAAACCAAGAGCATCATGGCCTGCATGAATGCTGCTGTTCTTATCTATATGTCTCTTCTACAGCTGCTGTGGTTCCTGGAGAAGAGGGGAGTAGACTCAGAGGGTATTCTGCGGGTTTCAGGCTCTCAGTCCAGAATCAAGGTGAGATATTTGTACATCACTTGTTTCCAATGAGTTTAGGAGTAGTATATGCACATCCAGTAACTTGCATGCGCCAGGGTACAAAATAATACAGTCATGAAGGAAAGATACCTGTACACTGTTTCTTCCTGGGATCAGAAGCTGCAGCGGGACCTGGAGCAGAACTTCTACTCTGGAGGGTTCAGCTGGGACGAGGTCAGTCCTAACGATGCTGCTGCCCTGTTGAAGAAGTTTATCAGAGAACTACCCTCTCCACTTCTCACCGCAGAGCACCTCAACACCTTCAGTGCTGCCAGGGGTGAGTAGACACACAACCCATACACACTCCCCACTCCCCTACGTATTTATTTGGACAGTGAAGCTAACACTTTTAATGTGGCTCTATACTCCAGCATTTTGGATTTGAGATCAAATGTTTTATATGAGGCGACAGTGCAGAATGTCACCTTTTATTTGAGGGTATTTTCATACATACAGTTGAAGTCGGAAGTTTACATACACCTTAGCCAAACACATTTAAACTCAGTTTTTCACAATTCCTGACATTTAATCCTAGTAAGAATTCCCTGTCTTAGGTCAGTTAGGATCATCACTTTATTTTAAGAATGTGAAATGTCAGAAAAATAGTAGTGAGAATGATTTATTTAAGCTTTTATTTCTTTCATCACATTCCCAGTGGGTCAGAAGTTTACATACACTCAATTAGTATTTGGTAGCATTGCCTTTAAATTGTTTAACTTGGGTCAAACGTTTCGGGTAGCCTTCCACAAGCTTCCCACAATAAGTTGGGTGAATCTTGGCCCATTCCTCCTGACAGAGCTGGTGTAACTGAGTCAGGTTTGTAGGCCTCCTTGCTCGCACATGCTTCTTCAGTTCTGCCCACAAATGTTCTATAGGACTGAGGTCAGGGCTTTGTGATGGCCAAGTCCAATATGACTTTGTTGTCCTTAAGCCATTTTGCCACAACTTTGGAAGTATGCTTGGGGTCATTATCCATTTGGAAGACCCATTTGCGACCAAGCTTTAACTTCCTGACTGATGTCTTGAGATGTTGCTTCAATATATCCACATAATTTTCCTTCCTCATGATGCCATCTATTTTGTGAAGTGCACCAGTCCCTCCTGCAGCAAAGCACCTCCACAGCATGATGCTGCCACCCCCGTGCTTCACGGTTGGGATGGTGTTCTTCGGCTTGCAAGCAACCCCCTTTTTCCTCCAAACATAACGATGGTCATTATGGCCAAACAGTTATATTTTTGTTTCATCAGACCAGAGGACATTTCTCCAAAAAGTACGATCTTTGTCCCCATGTGCAGTTGCGAACCGTAGTCTGGCTTTTCTATGGCGGTTTTGGAGCAGTGGCTTCTTCCTTGCTGAGCGGCCTTTCAGGTTATGTCAGTATAGGACTTGTTTTACTGTGGATGTAGATACTTTTGTACCTGTTTCCTCCAGCATCTTCACAAGGTCCTTTGCTGTTGTTCTGGGATTGATTTGCACTTTTCACACCAAAGTACGTTCATCTCTAGGAGACAGAACGCGTCTCCTTCCTGAGCGGTATGACGGCTGCGTGGTCCCATGGTGTTTATACTTGCATACTATTGTTTGTACATATGAACGTGGTACCTTCAGGTGTTTGGAAATTGACTTGTGGAGGTCTACACATTTTTTAATGAGGTCTTGGCTGATTTCTTTTGATTTTCCCATGATGTCAATCAAAGAGGCACAGAGTTTGAAAGTAGGCCTTGAAAGACATCCACAGGTACATCTCCAATTGACTCAAATGATGTCAATTAGCCTATCAGAAGCTTCTAAAGCCATTACATAATTTTCTGGACCTTTCCAAGCTGTTTAAAGGCACAGTCAACTTAGTGTATGTAAACTTCTGACCCACTGGAATTGTGATACAGTGAATTATAAGTGAAATAATCTGTCTGTAAACAATTGTTGGAAAAATACTTGTGTCATGCACAAAGTAGATGTCCTAACCAACTTGCCAAAACCATGGTTTGTTAACAAGAAATTTGTGGAGTGGTTGAAAAACAAGTTTTAATTTTTATTTTATTTTATTTCACCTTTATTTAACCAGGTAAGCCAGTTGAGAACAAGTTCTCATTTACAACTGCGACCTGGCCAAGATAAAGCAAAGCAGTGCGATAAAAACAACAACACAGAGTTACATATGGGGTAAAACAAAACAAAGTCAAAAATACAACAGAAATAAATATATATACAGTGTGTGCAAATGTAGCAAGTTATGGAGGTAAGGCAATAAATAGGCTATAGTGCAAAATAATTACAATTAGTATTAACACTGGAATGATAGATGTGCAAGAGATGATGTGCAAATAGAGATACTGGGGGTACAAATGAGCAAAATAAATAACAATATAGGGATGAGGTAGTTGGGCGGGCTAATTTCAAATGGGCTGTGTACAGGTGCAGTGATCGGTAAGGTGCTCTGACAACAGATGCTTAAAGTTAGTGAGGGAGATAAGTGTCTCCAGCTTCAGAGATTTTCGCAATTTGTTCCAGTCATTGGCAGCAGAGAACTGGAAGGAATGGCGGCCAAAGGAGGTGTTGGCTTTGGGGATGACCAGTGAGATATACCTGCTGGAGCGCATACTACGGTTGGGTGTTGCTATGGTGACCAATGAGCTAAGATAAGGCGGGGATTTGCCTAGCAGTGATTTATAGATGGCCTGGAGCCAGTGGGTTTGGCGACGAATATGTAGTGAGGACCAGCCAACAAGAGCGTACAGGTCACAGTGGTGGGTAGTATATGGGGCTTTGGAGACAAAACGAATGGCACTGTGATAGACTACATCCAATTTGCTGAGTAGAGTGTTGGAGGCTATTTTGTAAATGACATCGCCGAAGTCAAGGATCGGTAGGATAGTCAGTTTTACGAGGGCATGTTTGGCAGCATGAGTGAAGGAGGCTTTGTTGCGAAATAGGAAACCGATTCTAGATTTAACTTTGGATTGGAGATTCTTAATGTGAGTCTGGAAGGAGAGTTTACAGTCTAACCAGACACCTAGGTATTTGTAGTTGTCCACATACTCTAGGTCAGACCCGTCGAGAGTAGTGATTCTAGTCGGGTGGGCGGGTGCAAGCAGCGTTCGGTTGAAGAGCATGCATTTAGTTTTACTAGTGTTTAAGAGCAGTTGGAGGCTACTGAAGGAGTGTTGTATGGCATTGAAGCTCGTTTGGAGGTTTGTTAACACAGTGTCCAATGAAGGGCCAGATGTATACAAAATGGTGTCGTCTGCGTAGAGGTGGATCTGAGAGTCACCAGCAGCAAGAGCGACGTCATTGATGTACACAGAGAAAAGAGTCGGCCCAAGAATTGAACCCTGTGGCACCCCCATAGAGACTGCCATAGGTCCAGACAACAGGCCCTCCGATTTGACACATTGAGAAGTAGTTGGTGAACCAGGCGAGGCAGTCATTTGAGAAACCAAGGCTATTTAGTCTGCCAATAAGAATGCGGTGGTTGACAGAGTCGAAAGCCTTGGCCAGGTCAATGAAAACGGCTGCACAGTACTGTCTATTATCGATCGCGGTTATAATATCGTTTAGGACCTTGAGCGTGGCTGAAGTGCACCCATGACCAGCTCGGAAACCGGATTGCATAGCGGAGAAGGTACGGTGGGATTCGAAATGGTCGGTGATCTGTTTGTTAACTTGGCTTTCAAAAAGTTTTGAAAGGCAGGGCAGGATGGATATGGGTCTGTAACAGTTTGGATCTAGAGTGTCACCCCCTTTGAAGAGGGGGATGACCGCGGCAGCTTTCCAATCTCTGGGGATCTCAGACGTTACGAAAGAGAGGTTGAACAGGCTAGTAATAGGGGTTGCGACAATTTCGGCGGCTAGTTTTAGAAAGAAAGGGTCCAGATTGTCTAGCCCAGATGATTTGTAGGGGTCCATATTTTGCAGCTCTTTCAGAACATCAGCTGTCTGGATTTGTGTGAAGGAGAAGCGGGGGGGGGCATGGGCAAGTTGCAGCGGAGGGTGCAGAGCTGGTGGCCGGGGGTAGTGGTAGCCAGGTGGAAAGCATGGCCAGCCGTAGCAAAATGCTTGTTGAAATTCTCGATTATTGTAGATTTATCGGTGGTGATAGTGTTTCCTAGCCTCAGTGCAGTGGGCAGCTGGGAGGAAGTGCTCTTATTTTCCATGGACTTTACAGTGTCCCAAAACTTTTTGGAGTTAGTGCTACAGGATGCAAATTTCTGTTTGAAAAAGTTAGCCTTTGCTTTCCTAACTGCTTGTGTATATTGGTTCCTAACTTCCCTGAAAAGTTGCATATCGCGGGGGCTATTTGATGCTAATGCAGTACGCCACAGGATGTTTTTGTGCTGGTCAAGGGCAGTCAAGTCTTAATGACTCCAACCTAAGTGTATGTAAACTTCCGACTTCAACTGTATCTGATTTACTGTTTGGAAATGAATGCACTTTCTGTACTGTATCTAGTCCACCCATTCGAAGGTGTCATCAGTATTTGGACAAATTAATTTATAATGTATTCAATTTAGTCAAAAGTGTATTATTTGGACCCATATTGCTAGCACGCAATGACTACATCAAGCTTGTGACTACAAGCTTGTTGGATGTATTTGTCGTTTGTTTTGGTTGTGTTTCGGATTATGATGTGCCCAATAGAAATTAATGGCAAATAATTTGTTTCATTTTGGAGTCACTTTTATTGTAAATAAGAATAGAATTATGGATAATCATGAATGAATCATGAATAATGATTAGTGAGAAAGTTACAGAGGCATAAATATCATACCCCCAATACATGCTAACTATTATTGGTAATGGTGCGAGGTTAGCATGTTTTGGGGGTATGACATTTGTGCATCTGTACATTTCTCACTCATTATTATTCACGATTCATTCAGGATTATCTGTAATCATGGAAGCATCCACATTAATGTAGAAGTGTTTAGAAACATATTCTATTCTTATTTACAATAAAAGTGACTCCAAAATGACACAATACATTAATTACCATTCATTTCTATTGGGCACAACATAATCCGAAACACAACCAAAACAAACAGCAAATGTATCCAACTAGTTTGTAGCAGTGGCGGCTCCTGAAAAAATTCTCAGGAGGGGCAATTTTTCTGATGATTTAGGTGACCTACACACATTTAAAAAAAAGATATGTCCAGCAACAACATGAAGACAGGGGCAGCATATAAGTCAATACCAGAAGCATTTATTGACTGATCTCAAAAGTGTTGGCTTACCAGGGTTGGTGGAGCCCTCAGTTTCATCTTTGCCTCGCAAAGCTAACTCAAACACTCCGCAAAACTTCACACACTGGATTAGCCGGCAGAGGATGTGGCGGTTCTTGCTAATGTCGTAGTAAATATATTTGTTATAGTGAATATGGAATATGATATGTTGAGTAAAATGTTGTGCTAAGATCTATTTAGGTCAGGAGCTGGTTATAAGTTCTGTTCCTATCCAATAACAATGGACAAAAGGGTCCTATCTTGTCAGCCTTGTCAGCAGGTGGCCAAGGACAACACCCACGCCATAGGCCTCTCAGTTCTTCCAACTCACGAGTTCTTGCTCTGAAGACACACACACACACAAACACACACACACACACACACACATCATCACTGTTAAACACACACACACACACACACATCATCACTGTTAAACACACACACACACACACACAAAAATCCCCTCTCTTAGGCTGAACATTTGAAGACAGAGAACCCGACTCAGAGCCAATGCAACAGTGACAGTAGCCTGGAGGTGACCTCGCCCAACTCATCAGGACCAATCAGAAGATCAGAACTACTAGATTGAACCTACTTCATTTATTGCATAAAATGTCTGCACACAATGTTTCGGGGCTCTCTTCAGATAATAATAATAATAATATGCCATTTAGCAGACGCTTTTATCCAAAGCGACTTACAGTCATGCGTGCATACATTTTTACGTATGGGTGGTCCCGGGGATCGAACCCACTACCTTGGCGTTACAAGTACCATGCTCTACCAGCTGAGCTACAGAAAGTGGATACTCATGGATGCGCATTGCAATTGTAAAATGTCAACACAATTGGAGACATCACGTCATTTTTGGAGACATGTTATTGACAGTAAACTATTGTAGATGCGACTGCTAACTAAATAAAACATTTTAGCTGGCTAGCTAATCATCTTAGCTAAATGTGGGGCAAACAATTCAGTTATTTACCGTTAATTTGAGGGATTGGGGTGAAAGAAATCGAGTTACATAGTGATACTTTACGATATACTGTATTGACAATATCGCAATATTTTAGCACTAGTTGGCTGTACCTGCACCAAAACACCATTATTGTTCCTTCATAGCTTGTTCTCAATCTTTTCACATTGGGAGCCAATTAGTTTTCAGCACTTTTATTTCCATGACTGATCAAAACTCGTTCTCATGGCTTTCTGATCCCTCTGCAACAGACATATGGTGCGCAATAAAATCACAGTATCGAATCGCAATACGTATAGAATCATGAGACTCGCAATGCTGATGCATATATCTTATCGTGAGGTTCCTGGCAATTCCCAGGCCAAGTTCATTTGCCACAACAAATCTCTTCGCTAGCAAACGCGATGTCTTCTCCAAAACGACAATGTGTCTCCAGCAATGTTTACTTTTTTGACGTTCTATGGCATCTCCACTTTCCAAGCATATATGACCACATGTAATATTTTGGTAAGTGATGCAAATAGTGAACTATGTAGGGCCAGGATGTAAAATATATGTAGCTGCAGCAATTTCTCTTATCTGATATGGTAAGTAATGGGGCTTAATGTATAGCTCCCTAAGAGTTTGACGAACGGGTCCGTGAACGCGATTCCAGATATATTTACCTCTGAATAAACTGCCTTTATTACACCATATCCACATCCAGTAAACTTGTGATTATCAACACTAACCTCATCGTTGTGGCGGCGGACAGCTAGCCTGTATCCCTCGTCATCCAGTTGAGTGAGTGGCAATGTCTTTTTTCGTTCGTACCAATTTTTGGAAAATCCTCGGGTGTAGGACTTTCCGCCTTTAGTAGAAACCTGTTGAATTATTAAATTTGGTCTGGGAGGTCCTAATTGTTTCGTTGCCAATTTATCTTAATTTGTTCGCCGACAAAAAGGAACTTCTTTCAAAGACACAATCGAGTTGGACTGAAGCCTAGCCATTTTGATAGTAGTAGTGAATTGATTGAGGCTGCTACCTGGTCTTTTCTTAGTTACGTTCATTCGTGGTTACGTTATGTATGACGAAAGCGCGTAAGTGCAAGCCCACAGACACCCATAGAGAATGTATTGAAAGCTTTGAAATGTGAAAAAAATAGATTTTACATGACAGGCTATGAGAGACTTCTGGGCGATTTTCAACCTGACTGAAATCGCCCAAAAAACGGGCGGGGCCATTTGAAGCACGACTTTAGCCTGATTTGACATTTAGTGGCTGTCAGATCAGACGTGAACACTGATAACTGCTGTTGCCGTGATATAATTTTTTATAAATTTATTTAAAAAAAAAAAAAATTATTTTTTATTTTTTATTTTTTATAATTGATTAGAAAAAAAATCCCTTCCTTTTCCCGTTTGGCAGTGCGTCGCCCATATCGCCCTATTGAACAAGCCGTCCCTGGTTTGTAGAGTCACAATCTTGATGTAGTCAATACATTTCTCCAAATACTTATGACTCCTTCAAATGGGGGGGGGGACTAGATACATAAAGTGCATTCATTTCTAAATGGTAAAACAGATATATATGAAAATACCCTCAAATAAAAAGGTGACATTCTGTACTGTCACCTCATATAAAACATTTGATCTCAAATCCAAAATGCTGGAGTATAGAGCCACATTAAATGTTTTAGCTTCACTGTCCAAATAAATACGTTGGGGAGTGTATATATTTAGGGGGGAGTGCCAAGTTTCCTCCAGACATGACGCTTGGCATTCAGGCCAAAGAGTTCAATCTTGGTTTCATCAGACCAGAGAATCTTGTTTCTCATGGTCTGAGAGTCTTTAGGTGCCTTTTGGCAATCTCCAAGCGGGCTGACATGTGCCTTTTACTGAGGAGTGGCTTCCGTCTGGCCACTCTACCATAAAGGCCTGATTGGTGGAGTGCTGCAGAGATTGTTGTCCTTCTGGAAAGTTCTCCCATCTCCACAGAGGAACTCTGGAGCTCTGTCAGAGTGACCATCAGTTTCTTGGTCACCTCCCTGACCAAGGTTCTTCTCCCCGATTGCTCAGTTTGGCCGGGTGGCCAGCTCTAGGAAGAGTCTTGGTGGTTCCAAACTTCTTCCATTTAAGAATGATGGAGGCCACTGTGTTCTTGGGGACCTTCAATGCTACATAAATGTTTTGGTACCCTTCCCCAAACCTGTGCCACGACACAATCCTGACTCGGAGCTCTATGGACAATTCCTTCAACCTCATGGCTTGGTTTTTGCTCTGACATGCACTGTCAACTGTGGGAGCTTATATAGACAGGTATGAGCCTTTCCAAATCATGTCCAATCAGTTTAATTTACCACAGGTGGATTCCAATCAAGTTGTAGAAATATCTCAAGGATGATCAATGGAAACAGGATGCACCTGAGCTCAATTTCGAGTCTCATAGCAAAGGGTCTGAATACTTATGTAAATAAGGTATTTCTGTTAGGCGAATGATAAATCATTTTAAACCTAGTGGCTACCTGTCAGAGTCATTCGTCTCTACAGATCAGATCATGGTTGGGCTAAAGGAGAGGAAATGAGTGTGTGTTGGTCATTCATAGCCTGTTGTCTGTTCTGTCTTTCCCCCCCTCCTCCTCTACAGACATCCCTGAGCTGAAACAGAAGCTGCACGTTCTGAACCTCCTCGTCCTCCTACTACCTGAACCCAACAGGAACACACTCAAGGTATGTTGTGAGACTCCATATTATTCCATGACCACGAAGTAACCAGATGGCTTTAGCGATGCACTTTAAATCTCCACATCTTCCGTATAACGTGTTACATCTTAAACCTCCACACTTACAATCATGTAGGTGATGCATTAATGAGTCATATCTCTCTGACATAATACAATCTGTCAACTCCTCCACGTACTGTATGGTAGGAGGTATTGCATGAGAGGGCACTTTCAGCTTTCAGCACCTGGATGAGGTGTTCTGCTCGTATGTAACTGGCTCGTACTCTTGTTCACATAAGTGGAATAAATAATCGTATGACTACTTTAATACTTTCACATAACTAGATCACCTTTTAGATGACACATTATGGATGACTCCATGTGTCTGGTCTGATTAAACTTATCAGATCCTATGTTCCTCTGTTGCTGACACAACATAACGTTGTCAGAAAAACACTTCAGCCACCATCATCATTCAAGTCAACAATTTCAACCTTTGCGAAGACAAAACACTTTCATTAATGATAGAGGACTCACTGTAAAACAGGTCTCCTCTCCTCTCCTTTTAAAGCACATTTCTGTGGGAACAGACAATAAATACTTATCTTCTCTCCTCTCTTCAGGCTCTGTTGGAGTTCCTTTCTAAGGTAGTCTCCAGAGAGAGGAGGAACCGTATGAACCTGTGGGCTGTGTCCACCATCATGGCCCCCAACCTGTTCCTGTTCCTCCACAAGGCCGTACCCTCCCGCCTCACTGACGGGGGACCAGGGGTGGAGAAAGGACATGCTGATAAGGCCCCCAACCTGTTCCTCCACAAGGCCGTACCCTCCCACCTCACTGACGGGGGGCCAGGGGTGGAGAAAGGACATGCTGAGAAGGCTGCCGATATCATGAGGTTACTCATACGCTACCAGGACCTGCTCTGGACCGTAAGTAAAAACTTCAGGCTACCAACAATACTTTTCATGCAAGTATTTATTTACCCATAGAAACCTTAGAAGCTTGGTTGGGTTTGTGGCATAGCCGTGGGAAGAAGGGGTGCTGGGGGTTCAGCAGCATCCCCTGGTGGTAAGATTGTAAAACTACACGAGGGAGTTATTTCCTCCACAAGCCTTTTTCTCATGACAAATGAATAAAACTGTAAACACACTGGCTAGCTGGCACACTAGAGCCAGTAACACACTGGATAACTAAAACAGCTATGTCTTTCTCATGAATATCACAGTTGACCATTTACTCCCTTTTAAAAGGGTGCAATTTGCTTAATATTGGTAGTTGAGACATACAGTTAACAGCATTAGAAAGCTACAATTCTTCCTTTTGAACCATTAGCTACCTGCATTTGGCGGGTGTTGTCTTTTGCCCTGTGTTTGATTTGTGAGCTTAAACTTGATATGATGGGCAGCTTCTGTTAAACGTGAAACAATGTACTAGACTAATGAATATGATATTTGCCCTCATCAAAACAATGTTTCTGTTGCATATTTCAGTCTGGAGCCTGTCTAGGTTTAAGGGGGTTGTAACCTATTCTAAATGGCACACTAGGAGTTAGGGGGGTTATAACCTATTCTAAATGGCACACTAGGAGTTAGGGGGGTTATAACCTATTCTAAATGACACACTAGGAGTTAGGGGGGTTATAACCTATTCTAAATGGCACACTAGGAGTTAGGGGGGTTATAACCTATTCTAAATGCCACACTAGGAGTTAGGGGGGTTATAACCTATTCTAAATGGCACACTAGGAGTTAGGGGGGTTATAACCTATTCTAAATGGCACACTAGGAGTTAGGGGGGTTATAACCTATTCTAAATTAAAACTAGGAGTTAGGGGGGTTATAACCCATTCTAAATGAAAAGTAGCAGTTAGGGGGGTTATAACCTATTCTAAATTAAAAGTAGCAGTTAGGGGGATTGTAACCTATTCTAAAAGACACACTAGGAGTTAGGGGGGTTATAACCCATTCTAAATTAAAAGTAGCAGTTAGGGGAGTTATAACCTATTCTAAATGACACACTGGGAGTTAGGGGGGTTATAACCTATTCTAAAATACACACTAGGAGTTAGGGGGGTTATAACCTATTCTAAAAGACACACTAGCAGTTAGGGGGGTTATAACCTATTCTAAAAGACACTAGGAGTTAGGGGGGTTATAACCTATTCTAAAAGACACACTAGGAGTTAGGGGGGTTATAACCTATTCTAAATTACACACTAGCAGTTAGGGGGGTTATAACCTATTATAAATGACACACTAGGAGTTAGGGGGGTTATAACCTATTCTAAAAGACACACTAGGAGTTAGGGGGGTTATAACCTATTCTTAAAGACACACTAGGAGTTAGGGGGGTTATAACCCATTCTAAATGACACACTAGGAGTTAGGGGGTTTATAACCTATTCTAAAAGACACACTAGGAGTTAGGGGGGTTATAACCCATTCTAAATGACACACTAGGAGTTAGGGGGGTTATAACCTATTCTAAATGACACACTAGGAGGTAGGGGGGTTATAACCTATTCTAAATGACACACTAGCAGTTCGCAAAAAAAGCCTAAAATAGACGAGATGCATCTATTCTTCCAAAACTGCAGCTCATGGTTGGAACATTTATTTCCCTACTTTAATCAACCAGTCCATTTTGAATTTAAGATAAAGCTATTGTGATTTGGAAAGGAGTGTAGCTTGTCCTGTTTGTGTATCCCATCAGTTAGATGTGTTTTTAGAGGCAGTCATTTCTGTAGGCCAAATGGGAGCTTGGGTGCCTGGCAGCGGTCAGATAGCTAGCCTAATGTAAGGAAAAGAGAGAAGAGCCAACCCCACACCGAGGTCAGCACCCCCTGCCCCAAAACAGCTTCCCTTCACTAATCTACCACCAACACTTAATGCCGTTTGCACAGCTTCTCTCTCTTACCGTTTACTCATCAGACAACCTATAGTGTGTACACAAGGTTAAGTCAAAAATGATGTACTCATGTAAAGGTTAACAACAACAAAATTATTGAAACGACAAGTGAATGAATGAAATATCTTCCTCCATGGCAGATCCCTAACTTCCTGATGAGCCAGGTGCGGAAGCTGAACGAGAACAGTAACCGGAGGTACCAGTTCTACGACCGCCGCATCAAGAACCTGCTGAGGAAAATTCACCAGGACAGCAAGGATAAACCTGACAAGAACTCCTCCGAGGTAGTTTTTTCTTCTTCTAGAAACTACTAATACTGTTGTAACTTGCACTTACACTCGCACTTATTTTCTCTCACTGGCTCTCATTTAGCAGCTATTATGATAGCATCTATTTCTCTCTCCTCTCCCCCCTTTCCCTCCTCTCTTCCCCCACCAGCCATGTCGTACAGTAAAGATCCAGGTGGGAGAACTGATGAGCAGCACCATGGAGGTCAAGGTCAACATAAATTCCAGAGCATCAGACCTGCTGGCTCAGTTCCACAGGCACGTCTACAGTTCTGACAACGCCAAGCGCCTGCTCAAGAGGTACAGTACACTAAAATCAATGAAACAATCAAATGCCTTTAGTATAAAGTATTTTTGTCCTAAGTACAGTTTTTCCTGACTACGTCAGCTAACCAGGGAAAACTCTGTCCTACTGGTGACCTCTAAGCACACAGTAAAACCGCTGCATAGAAAACCTTGCTTCAGAAATACTACATTGACATTTCACTGAGCAGAAATTGAGAATGCTGAAGTTGACCGAATCCATTGAATGAATAACAAGCCTGTCTGTTCTTTATCACAGGAACGGTTTGGTAAATGATTTGGGATCCTACCCGGACTGTGCCATATATGAAGTGGGAGGAAATATCGGTAGGTACCACATCACAAGCCTCCACCCCATATCTAGACGATCTACCAGACCTGGGTTCAAATACTATTTGAAATCTTTCATATACTTGGAGTGTTTGTTTTCCTTCCATTCTTTCTAATGCTATTTAATTGCAACAGGCAAGCTCAATCAAGCACAGTTAAATAAATGATTTCAAATAGCCTTTGAATCCATGTTTGCTATCTACTCAGGCTGAGAGCCACATTAGAAGGTTACATGAGTGACTCTGACATGTGCATGTCTTTCTGCTGATTGAACTGATTACGCTGGCCAGGCCTTACGCAATGAACTGGAGAGAGAGGGGGGATAGAGAGGGGTAGAAAGAGGGGGGGAGGGTGAGAGAGAGAGAGAGAGAGAGAGAGAGAGAGAGAGAGAGAGAGAGAGAGAGAGAGAGAGAGAGAGAGAGAGAGAGAGAGAGAGCCAACGGTGTGCATCTGCAGTTATCGGAGCAGACAAATGCTTCCACATGTAGCTACTTCACTGTTATGTACTGGACTGTGCTCTCACAGACCCAAGCATTCACACACCACTCATAATGTATGTGCATTCACGGACCAAAAACAAGGCAGAGTTTCAGTTTTTCCTTTCAAACTGTTTTCAACATCTCTCTTGCAGAAGAGATTTTAGCTGAATGAGAATAACCTGTATAAAAACGTGTTAATTACAAAATCTGTCCCTCAGTGTTGACTCTGCCTTGTGTTGTTCTGTTCTGTCCCGTAGGTGAGCACTGCCTGGACCCAGAGACCCATCTCCTGGACCTGTACAACAACAACCCCAGTGGAGAGTGGGTCATCAAACAGAAACCACTGGCCACCAGTAGGGGACTGCAGATATAAGACAGCCGCAGGAGGAGGGAGAGACCAGCAGGGGGCTTCAAGAGCCAACCAGAGGAGGAGGGAGACCAGGAGAAGTCGAGGAGAGGAGGAAGCTGCCACCACAAACCACCTCGAGACTGAACCCTCTCTCTGACCAATGAGACCAGACTAGGAGAAGCAAAACAGAGAGAGACAGAGAGCTACTGCTGAAAACACCATCAGATGGAGGAGTGGCTGAGTTCGTATTTGAGGCTGCTTCTTGGCTTGTCAGCTAAGCTCTCAGGCTCTCAGCCTATCACCTCCCAGCGTCCGCAGAAGCCCAGATGGGGATCTGATGCAGCCGCCACCGAGTCTCTCTCTCTTTCTTTCTTTCTTTCTTTCTTTCTTTCTTTCTTTCTTTCTTTCTTTCTTTCTTTCTTTCTTTCTTTCTTTCTTTCTTTCTTTCTTTCTTTCTTTCTTTCTTTCTCTCCCACTCTGTCTCTCTCTCTCTCTCCATTCCTTCTGCTCAGGCCATTTGATCATAAAGGAATTAGAGAGGAACATAAACAGTATATCTCTTTTCCTTGTTTGTCTATTTCCTTTATGTCACACAGAGGGACAGTCAGGTACTCTGATGAACTGTCCTGTCCCCTGTGTGTGACTCTTTGGGCCCTGTCCCTGACAAGCCCCATGTCCTGTCCCCTGTGTGTGACTCTTTGGGCCCTGTCCCTGACAAGCCCCATGTCCTGTCCCCTGTGTGTGACTCTTTGGGCCCTGTCCCTGACAAGCCCCATGTCCTGTCCCCTGTGTGTGACTCTTTGGGCCGTTGTCCCTGACAAGCCCCATGTCCTGTCCCCTGTGTGTGACTCTTTGGGCCCTGTCCCTGACAAGCCCCATGTCCTGTCCCCTGTGTGTGACTCTTTGGGCCCTGTCCCTAACAGCCCCATGTCCTGTCCCCTGTGTGTGACTCTTTGCCTCTGATGGCTCTATAAGAGCCCCTAAACACAGGGGACAGAGGGCATAGTTCTCTCTAAGGGTTCAAAGGTCAATCTCTAAGACATGATTATTGTACATCTAAAGGGAATTGTTGTTTAAGACAGATAGTGAAGCTGGACTTCAACCTTTCTGTTTGTTTTTTGTTTTTGAAGGATTTTATTAAGTATTGAATATCACGATGGATTGACTATCTATAATTGATTGGGTGTGTCTGTATGTACATGTATGTAGTCATGAATGTTCTCATTTGAAATGGTTCAATAGGTGTTTCTGATAGTAACGTAACAGTCATGTAAGCTCATCCAATCTTTTTGGGGACTTTTTTCAGACAGTGTTCTTATTCTTGTAAATGTTTTGATCGGTTGTATTTTGATGCGCTTCTGCATCCTTCTTTCTGTAGTCTTATTACCCATTTGTCATCCCTTCTTTAGAATACACTTCTATATGAAATCTATGAATAGTGTTTACACGTTTTGAAGAAGCTTCGACATTGCACCATCAATCACATCAATGTAAAGTACACACATTTTCTACATGACAACCTATCATGAATTTACACATCTACAACCTACCATGAATGTATGCTACTCTTCTGCTGACACTCAGCCGTTAGAGATGCAACCAAAACCACATGTATTTACACATCTACAACCTACCATGAATGTATATTTAGCTACTAGTGTTCTCAGAAGTGACAACAAGAATGCAACAAACTGCATAGATCTCATCTCAGTCACACCAGTCATTGTTCAATACAGAGTCAGAGCCCCAGTCTCCTGTTCTATTGTTCAGTACAGAGTCAGAGCCCCAGCCTCCTGTTCTATTGTTCAGTACAGAGTCAGAGCCCCAGCCTCCTGTTCTATTGTTCATTACAGAGTCAGAGCCCCAGCCTCCTGTTCTATTGTTCATTACAGAGTCAGAGCCCCAGCCTCCTGTTCTATTGTTCATTACAGAGTCAGAGCCCCAGCCTCCTGTTCTATTGTTCATTACAGAGTCAGAGCCCCAGCCTCATGTTCTATTGTTCAGTACAGAGTCAGAGCCCCAGCCTCCGTTTATTGTTCAGTACAGAGTCAAGAGCCCCCAGCCTCATGTTCTATTGTTCATTACAGAGTCAGAGCCCCAGCCTCATGTTCTATTGTTCAGTACAGAGTCAGAGCCCCAGCCTCATGTTCTATTGTTCAGTACAGAGTCAGAGTCCCAGTCTCCTGTTTCTATTATTCAATACAGAGTCAGAGCCCCACAGCTCCGTCTCTATTGTTCAGTACAGAGTCAGAGCCCCAGCCTCCTGTTCTATTATAAATACAGAGTCAGAGCCCCAGCCTCCTGTTCTATGTTCAGTACAGAGTCAGAGCCCCAGCCTCCTGTTCTATATTCAGTACAGGTCAGAGCCCCAGCCTCTGTTCTATGTTCAGTACAGAGTCAGAGCCCCAGCCTCCTGTTCTATTGTTCAGTACAGAGCAGAGCCCCAGCCTCATGTTCTATTGTTCAGTACAGAGTCAGAGCCCCAGCCTCCTGTTCTATTGTTCAGTACAGAGTCAGAGCCCCCAGCCTCCTGTTATATTGTTCAGTACAGAGTCAGAGCCCCAGTCTCCTGTTTATTGTTCAGAACAGAGTCAGAGCCCCAGCCTCATGTTCTATTGTTCATTTACAGAGTCAGAGCCCCAGCCTCCTGTTCTATTGTTCAGTACAGAGTCAGAAGCCCCAGCCTCTCTGTTCTATTGGTTCAGTACCAGAGGTCAGAGGCCCCAGCCTCATTTCTATTGTTCCAGTACAGACGTCAGAGCCCCAGGCACTCATGTTTCTATTGTTCAGTACAGAGTCAGAGCCCCAGCCTCCTGTGCTAGTATTCAGTACCAGAGTCAGAGCCCCAGGCCTCCTGTTTCTATTATTCAGTACAGACGTCAGCGGCCCCAGCCTCCTGTTCTATGTTCAGTACAGAGGTCAGAGACCAGCCTCCTGTTCTATTGTTCAGTACGGAGTCAGAGCCCCAGCACTGCATGTTCTATTGTTCATTACAGAGTCAGAGCCCCAGCCTCCTGTTCTATTGTTTCAGTACAGGAGTCAGAGCCCCAGGCCTCCTGTTAATTGGTTCAGTACCAGAGTCAGAGCCCCAGCCTTCATGTTTCTATTGTTCAGTATAGAGTCAGAGGCCCTAGCCTCATGTTCTATTGTTCAGAACAGAGTCCAGAGCCCCAGCCTCCTGTTCTATTGTTCAGTACAGAGTCAGAGCCCCAGCTCCTGTTCTATTGTTCAGATACAGAGTCAGAGCCCCAGCCTCATGTTCTATGTTCAGTACAGAGTCAGAGCCCCAGCCTCCTGTTCTATTGTTCAGTACAGAGTCAGAGCCCCAGCCTCATGTTCTATTGTTCAGTATAGAGTCAGAGCCCCAGCCTCATGTTCTATTGTTCAGTACAGAGTCAGAGCCCCAGCCTCCTGTTCTATTGTTCAGTACAGAGTCAGAGCCCCAGCCTCATGTTCTATTGTTCAGTACAGAGTCAGAGCCCCAGCTCCTGTTTCTTTTCAGTACAGAGTCAGAGCCCCAGCTCCTGTTCTATGTTCAGTACAGAGTCAGAGCCCCACCTCCTGTTCTATTGTTCAGTACAGAGTCAGAGCCCCAGCCTCATGTTCTATTGTTCATACAGAGTCAGACCCCCAGCCCCTTTTCTTTGTTAGTACAAGTCAACCCCCAGCCCCCTGTTCTATTGTTCAGTACAGAGTCAAGGGGCCCAGCCTATTTCTTTGTTCAGATAGTCAGCCCACCCCTCCTGTTTATTGTTCAAACAGCAGAGCCCACCCTCCGTTCTATTGTTATACAAGTCAGAGCCCCACCCCCTTTTCTTTGTTGTACGATCAAGCCCCAGCCCCTTTTCTATTGTTCATACAGAGTCAAGCCCCCAGCCCCGTTTATTGTTCTTTACAGAGCAGACCCCCGCCTCAGTTCTATTGTTCGGGTTAAGTAGAGCCCCGCCTCATGTTCTATTGTTCTAAGATCAAGCCCAGCCCCCTGTTTATGTTCTCCGAGTCGGGCCCCCCAGCCTCATGTTCATTTGTTCATACAGAGTCGAGCCCCAGCCCCTGTTCTAGTTCAGAAAGAGTCAGAGCCCAGCCCCTTTTTCTTGTTCGTAAGGTCGACCCCCACCTCGTTCATTTTTTCATACAGAG